CTGTCTTCTGTACAAAATTATCACCAGATAAAATAAAATTCGTATAGACTGAATTCTAAAATGACTAAAAGATGTAGCTCTTGGACTGTGCCACTAAATCAAGATACACAAATTAATAATACATAAGACTACAGAGAAATTTTCGCAGATATAGCAAGAGCAAACAGGAACTTGTTGTGTAAAAGAGAGTTTATGTAATAGAAGTTTTCCACTGAATTTCTTAGAAAAACAAAATGTATTCCATGCATGAAATCGCTCGTTGAATGATTCCTGTGCACTTATGTCCACTTAATAGTATATTAAGAAACGAACTGATGCAAGGATTACGTTAAGAATTCGCGTGTATTAGTAAGTACGTTGCAATTAAAGACCTTAACGCTTTCCTTAACACAAAACAATGGTTTAAACAGTTAATTGCCTTTTTATACATCAGTAAGTTAAAACGCTGTCTCCTGTAACTTTTTATCTGTTTTATGAATCGTTTCCTTTCGGTCGAAGAGAATGTAACGGTTCGTTTCGGTAAAACTCGAAAATTCGTTTAGAATTTAGGTGAAACATTTCGAATCCGAATCGAAATGTGCATCTATTTAATTTACATGTGCGAAAATTTGTTATTTATACACCAATCATTCATTTGGTGACGAAAGTGTAGTGGCTTTCCTACACAAATATGCTTATTTGTTTAAATAATTCATTCGAAAAAGTGAAGAAAAATGTAATGCACAATTTATGGACTGTCAGTAGAGGCGAGTTGAATTGTCCATATTGATATTAATGTGATTGTCGGTCGTAACGCTTAATCATAAATAATGATATGTCGCACGGTAAAAGTGCAAAAAAATGATTTACGGATACATGACTCCACCTTACGACATTCAATGTTAATTTGTCTTAGAACGTAGAACAAATGTATTTGTCAGCGATATGAGGCGATATCCAGCGAATATCCTGATGATGTTTATGACGTGTTTTTGCCTGTTCAAAACGTGGGTGTTCCAAATGTACTCTTTGGATTCGACTATTATAAATTCATGCTTAGTAGCTAGTAAGTTTAATAAGGTAATGTCTGTTAAAAATCCTATTTCTCTAATTAATCTTGTAACTTGTGACAGGATACTTGTTAGGTAGACAAAAAGCAAAAGATGTAATTAACATGTAGTTAATTATTAAATTTGCGAAGTACAAAAAACACCTTTCAATATTATATGAGAGCTAATGAGAGCAAATTGCAGATTTAATAACATGTATCGATTTTTCATGGTTTCCAGGCACGAAATGCAAATACTACCAATAACTCACCTCTGTATTTTTCCCGCTATTCACTTCATATTAGTTATCCTTTCACGGAGCTGTCATCTAGAACCTTGTAAAGTAAAAGAAAATTTATTTAATTCCTTTTTTTCCGGAGCGATCTTGTCCTTTATATATACCTGTATAATTAATCTATTAGGTTTAATTACGAGTATGTTTACGTTTAATTATACTTTATTCCAATGTAAATCCTAGTATGTAATTTAAAGTGCATGATAGAGCAAATGGCTGTTAAGGTTGGCAGCTTTATTTATTTGTAGATACTACAGCTGCAAATAAAACTCTAAATTTATACACTTATATTTCTTCTTCAGTCGTTATAGTTTCCATCTTTGTAATCTCCACCTATTCAGCTTATTATTATCACCTACTTTACATGAGATTTTCTATAAATTTTCCAATAGCTAACTGAGTAAACATACAGGGCGAATCAATTGTACCTACACGAATAAATCCATACATATATCTATGATACTTGCAGTTTCTGGTTTCGTATTGAACCGTTTTCTATTCCACCGTTTTTTCCCTGCAATCGAACGAGCAATAGATTCCGAACTGATAAATGCGATAGACCAGAAAATAAAACCGGAGCATTGTATGTGAATGTTCTTTTCATACGCATCGGCCTGACGTAATTTCCTAACGGAATCGAAAGTGCAGGAGATGTAAAACGTTGATAAAATGCAAGCAGTAAAGATAGCGAAAAATTGCCGCTTGCGAACTGCGCGAGAATTAATGTTTTACGAGGGTAAAACGAATAGTAGTTTAACTTGATATTTCTTCGCATTTAGACTCTGTTGATATTAAAAATTGTATGTTACAAATAAGGAGATGTAAACAAAGAAATTAAAGCATCTATAAGGGAATCTTATTTTGATTACTTCTTTTGTACATACACCTAGAACATTAATAAACAATTAAATGAGAAATATCAGTTTTTTTATTAGAATAATTATTAATTACGTCGCGATAAAAACTACCAATCAAACTAATATAGTATTAAACGTGTTAAAGACTGCATGAACATCCTTGTGCTTAGTTGAGGAGATGCAGTACGTACATAAATAAAACATATTGAATTATTAACGATGCGAAAATTTTTCGAAATTTTTCATTTATTAAAAACTAGTTATCGAGCCGCGTTTGCCTTCCAGTTTCGCGTGCTCGGCTCGCCATTCTTGGAGTGTTTTGCCGGTTTTACTGCCGTCCATCGTGGATTTATATCCGTATTATTCGATTTAACCTATTCCAAAGCGCGGTATTTTATGCCGGCGATAATTTATTTAGAAAATAACCAATCGGTTTTTAACGCAATTTTCGCTCGCCCTAATTGAAAATCGCCATAAAATTGCGGCTTTCTTCGCGAAAAAGAATTACGAATTAATCGGCATTGACGGGACGTGGTCACTTATCATTTCCCTTATATCTCATCTTCGAATGCGCCCAACCAGAAATTATTAAATCATTTCTCTTCGGCCCTCGCGAATTTCGACTTTCGCATAAAGAAAAGAAAGTGATCATTATGGTAATATTTACAGTTATTGCCTGTCAAAAACGGGTCGAAGGCGAACGAAAAGGCGCGGTGCACGTGAATTATCGTTCGCCTCTTGGCTCCGAAGGACTCACCTTTGATTACCTTTCCTTGTTTTCGTCGATGAAAGTTCATAAACAACAACAACAATAAACAACGAAAAATGATTGTCGGTTATTAAAAAATTCTGTAATGATCATTCAGGAGGAATCCTTATTTAGGTACCTAATTGTACCCGTTTTAAGCTAAACTGCTCCACAAAAGTTAAGGAAGTTTGCAAATTTTGTGATTATTCTGAAAGTTACAGATTTTTTGATCACCAAATTTTCAGATATGCGAAATTAAATGTTTTCTCTCATACCTGAGTGAATTTTTTGTCCCTACCTCTACAACTCATACTAAATTTGGCGATCAAAGAAACCTGCAACTTTTAAATTAATCTCAATATTTGTAAACTTCCTTAACTTTTGTGGAGCAGTATATTTCCCTTCTATATTTCATTTTCTACATCTGCCATTTTCCCATCTACTATTTCCCAATTTGACATTATTTCATCTATTTACTATTTTCTGCATTAACTATTTCCCCATCTGCTATTCCCCTATCAAGAACTATCATTTTCATCTAATACTTTTGCTACATTACTTTACTACAACCTCATAATTCCCATAACTTTTTCCTGCCTAATTTCTTCCTTTCTCGAACAATACAAATAGGCGCCATTATTCCCTCATTAATGTTTCTATCTGAAGGCTCGATCGGGGCAACGCTTCGGCTTCGGCCGATTTTGGTAAAAAAGAAACTCGGTGAAAAAACCGTACGGCCTACGCTAGTTTATAATTTCTTTTACGTCTTCGGCTTTAAATAACAGTTAGCTTTGTTCGACTGGTTAATTTTTAGGCGGCGCGCCGTTTTCACGAGCCGTCAAACCGAGAGCCCCTGGGGGATCGGATCGGTTTTATTTTTCACCGGGATGTAATAGCACGTTGTTAGGACCCGAAGACGGATTTACCGACGGCATTGGAAACAGAGCTGGACGGAACTTTTGTTAGTTTTACTCTTTACTTCTTATCATTGATTTCTTACTTACTTATTGTATGGTATCATTTAGTCCTTTGCCTACTTCGTGGATTATTCTCTAGTGCATAATTGGATTGTTGCTATATTAGATATGCTATTTTTTTGGTATTTTGGTCCGATACAGCCCTGTGCAGAGAAGGTCGAAGTCGTGTGTGTGTGTGTATTCATGTGTTGGCTAGTTTTTTCGAACGCAATTGTTAAAGAAAGATTTGTTCACGCGATCACACATCTGGTCTTCTTCGCTCCGGCTACCGAGCGTTTTGCAACTTAATTACCTCAATTAAGTGCATTAAAATGTAGCAAATGGTAGACGGGTGTATACGCATTCGGAAGAAATGGCTCCATTTTTCCTACATTTAAATAACAACAGCCCATCAGTCGAGATTCGAAGAGTTTGTTTGAAGAGTTAAAAGCTCTATTGTAGCCGAAGATTAAGTGTTGGAATAGATCTATTGATATGTATATTTATTTCCCTCCTTATGAAGGAACATATGTTCTAAACTTCTCATCCACACAACACTTTTTTAAAGCATCCAACTAGTTAAATATGTATCAAAAAATTACCATACTAATAACAACAACGCGGGCATAATTTCATCGGTAACGCAGCAACAACGAAGTTGCGCAATAAGAAAGTAAACCCGGCCGAAAATAAAGCACGAAAACCACTTTCAATTATCGAAGCCCGCGGCCCTTGCTAAACGTTCCGGTGACAAATCGAATTAAAATACGTCGGCATACACGATTTAAAAAAAGGCACGTTAACAACGTGTACACCTTTCGAATCGGTTGTCGCATCGAATTAATCGAAGCACGACAAATGACTAAACGAGAATATTATCTTCGATGTAATTAATAGATCGCAGATCGATTGGCTCATTAGACTATGTAGGTTAGAATGAATTACGCGAATTCGATTCTTACAGCTTTATTCACATTCGCCCGAGGGAATTGTTGTTCATAGTAGACTAAAGAGCGCAAACAAGCGATAAAATAGAGAAGACAAATCATAATCTTCTTGTAAATAAAACGTCGCACTAAAGGATATTCTAATTGGGAATTATTCCGTTGCAGAAAAATGATGTGTCTTGACGATTCGAGGAGTCGAAATCTGTACGATTCGGACCACGACAGCGTGAGCAGCGGCGAGGAGATCCCCGTGTGGGTGCGGGGCGAACAACGATGGGTGTCCGGCGTCACCGAAGACACCACTTGTCAAGAAGTAGTCCAAGTGCTGCTGCACGACGAAGAAAGAAGGGTGAGTTCCGCTTAGAAATTAGTCCTACGGTTTTTGCTGGATGTCCCACCAAAATTTAGAATTTCTTAACTCTCTGTACTGTATCTTCTCTACTCTGATCTACCTTCTCTAATACTATAATCTTCTTATACAACTGATAAAATTATTTATTGAATGAAACATACATAACTAGCAACACCTACTAAACCACCTAATAAGTAAGCATCGTTATTTTAATTATATTATTACACCCAATTGCAACAACCTTTTAAATAACAAAATTATGCAGATGCATTCTATTTAAAGCTAGCGCCTACATTTTCTCGCTAATAGCTTAACATATTGCATCCAGTATATCCGACAAATCAAGTTCAAGGCGCTGTTTCGATGGAAAACGAATTGAACGTGCGACAAAAGACTCGATTTAACGATGGATTTTTCAACTAACCCAAGCGAAAGGTGTTGTAAAATAGCGCTTCAAGCATCTGACGCCGAATAATAACGAAAAACCATTATCTGTGCGTTGGGTCCGGGCATCTCTTCGAAAATGAATGCGAGATAATTTCAATCGGTCAACGTCTGGAGAAATATACAGAGTCATCTAATCGTATTTGTAATTATTTTAATAACGTCCGAGGTCGAGGTGAATTTCGTTCCGAGCACACGTATTTAAATTTCGTATAAAGAAATAATTCGAAAGCCAATGAGAGAAATCATTCGATATGTTTATAAGAAAAACCAACCGACAACGAATTACGAATAAACAATAAACAGCCCCGGGTAATTGAAGTTACGTTTCTTATTTCAGTAGCCGATCATTTCAGTGGCATCCACCTTTGTTGGCCGTCCGTTTGCACTATCATTAAGTATATATTCGAAACCGAAACCGCTACCTACAAGCAAACAAATTACGGGTTTTATACAGCCTACCCCTTGCCCTTCTTCTCGGAAATGTACCATCAATTACTCATCTTCAACCATCATTGCTCTTAAAACTATACCAAATATCCGAAAAATTAATAACTTGATGATACTATAGAGATTTATTGTACGGAATTTGGTGACTAGTATTGCTACAAAAAATCACCTTGCACAAGATTCATTACATTGTACTTATTGTTCTAGGGTAGACCCTTAAGTTATTCGCAACAATACCAAATCACGGAGCGATGGCGAGGGGTGGAACAACCCCTGGACGATGTATCGAAGATTTTGGACATATGGAACGCTTGGGGAACCGCACAAACCGAGGTAATTCACCGCTAGCGAGTACAAACATAGCGTTAAAACAATTATCTCCGATTATTTCCAGGTAAAAATCTCGCTGAGACGAGTGAAACAGGATTTCCAGCGACCGGCCAGTCGAAGAACCCGCTGCAGATCGGATTCGAGCACTTGGTCGGATAGAAGCGCGTTCAAAACCATCCACCCCAAGCGATTGCAATCGCTGCAAAACGAAAAACAACCCTCCAGCACCGAAGAGCTGCTGAAGTTAGTGCTCGCTCAAGGAGAGGTCATAAGAAGGCAACTCAAAAAATTGAGGTAACCGTTCTTCATATTCATATCTAACCAAAAATAACCTCAAGATGATTTCTTCAGACATAGCGAACACCAAATAGGCTACTTGGAGGACAAAACGCACAGGGCTAGGGTGAGAAAACACGGCAGCAACTATTTATTGGAGACGTACCTCAAGGGGTTATCGGAGGCAGTCGATCCTGAACAGGACACTCTCATAGCCGACAAGAACAGCGACAGCGGAGTCGTGACCGAAGGAGACAGCGAACAATCCAACAAACAAACCAGAACCGCAGGGGTAAGCATAGATTGCATCTGATTGATTTCCTTTCACAACTTTTTATGTGAAGTGACTTTTAGTTTAAGTGACTAGCTAATTCTGGGAATGGGTTTGGTTTTCAGACGCCCTCGGAGAGGTTTTCGCCCTGCTCGCAGGACACCAACAAGGACGCCAAGGACGAGGATTCCAGCTCGACGGTGAGCGAGGTGACGCTGAAGGAGCAGGCGGACTTGCTCGAAAAGATCAACAAGCTAAACAGGCGGCTGCTGAAAGAGGAGGAAGCGTTGGTGAAGTTGGAGGAGAACTTCAAAAAGTACCAGAAAAGGGACGAGGAGAAGAGGGAGAAGAAGGAGAACGACGACGAAGTGGGCGAAACGCTGAGCAAACTCCGTACGGACATGATAAAGAGCTCGTGCGAGATGCAACACAACGAGATCGTGCTGGAGGAGACGATGGAGAAACTGACGGATAGGAGATCGTTCTTGGAGAACTTGCACAAGGAGCTCGTCGACGAGGACAGGGAGCACGAGATGCTGCAGACGTTGCTCTTCAGCAAAATGCAGCAGATGGAAATCGAGAAACGGCGGAGCAAAAGTCAATGTTTCTACCAAACCAAAGAATTGTTGGATACCCTAGTTTAAAATGATTTATAATTTTAAAAATATGTCAAAATTAATACCAAATATTGTGTACCTAATAGCTTTGTTAACATTAACCATAGGTTACGATTCAAATGTTGTTGATTTTTGTAATATATATTTTACGTAAGAATGCAGTGTTTATTGTTTTGCATTTCTAATTTAAAAGCAACTTAAAAAAGTCAAGAATTAAATTTACATTCACCTTTATTATAAAAATTATGTTGTAATAAAATAGGATTTTATAGACTTGTAAAGTTAATCTATAAAATTAGCAATCAAACTAACGCAGCAACTTGCATAATAAAAGAGACTCTCGAATAAAACTTGCTAATATAAAATGCATGATAATTATCACGCTATACCTACTACATTTCACTTCTTCCACGAAATTCGATTCTGCCAGGAAACGGGCATCTTTTGCACGTGAAACCCAAGTAAATACGTGCCTGTTGTGCTGGTATCAATCTCGCGCAATCGCGTGACCCCTTCTACAATCAATGAAAAATCTTAATAAGAACTCGTTTGGTTAATAACGAATCATTGTCAATCAAAGTTGTTTTGCTGGTATAGTTCGTATCGAAAAGAAAAATGCCTTCACCGTGCGACTCTTGCAAAGGTAAACATTTTTGTATATTTTGTATTTGTTTTTATTTACTGTAAGTGATGCGCAAAATGTCCTACGAATAGAGGTTAAATTTGCTATAATATAATTTCAATTACACGATATTGCATTACCGGCATTTGGTATTCTCTTGATTGCTGAACGATTGACCTCGAATGGATAATTAATTATATTACTATTAAATATTGATCTGAATCAATCAATCAATTGTCTGCTCTATGTTTGGTTAAATTTTTTAAGTTAAATTCGTCTTTGAATAATATTCGTGAGTGCTTCTACACACAGAAAAGAATAAATTGCATTGGAGTAAAGTTAATTGGACTATTTGTTTAATTTAAATAGGTAATTATCTAAAATTATGGCCTTTTCTGGTTTTCTCTGGTCATCTCACTGATCTTGAAAAACGAAATAAACTTTCATATTTTTATAATAGAAATTTCGGAAAACATCTGTAGTAAAGCTAATATTTTAGAAGAATAGAATGTAAGGAAATTGAGCGTGTTTCACATAAATCAGTATTTTCGATAATATTTTCAATTAGTCGAAAAAACAATATATGAAAATATTTAAATAACAATTCGATCATAATAAACGCAATTAAAATGACGAGGAAGAATTTATTTATCACTTTAACTGTGAATTATTTGTTTTTCCGAACAATCGTTAAAATAAATTGTCCATTTCTAATAGCTTCGAGAATAATTTATAATTAATACTTATAGGCGATTAATTATTTTAATTGTTCTTGAACTGGCGCAATTAAAGGAAAAATATTTCGTATAACGATTTTGTTTTCTTTATACGATTTAATCCGAACGTAAACAAGGCAGATAACGTTCATCGATATTAAAAATGGGGAATTTTTCATAAAATATTCAGCGAACGTGTTGAATACAAATATTTTCAGATTATAAATTTGTTTACAATTTTTTTAAAAAATTTATCTAAATTCCTTTTATTTCAAAATTTACCTTTCGCTAATAATTATACTGCAAACTTACCAAGTTATATTAAATTTTCTGAACTATTTTCCGAGTTTGTGCTATTGTTAAAAAACTACAGAAATGGAGTAAAAAAATATCATAACGCTATTTCCACGTAAAGCTTTTGACGTAGATAACAACAGAAAAACATTGCACAATTTGTTTCACCCACGTTGGTATGAAATTTATAATTGCGTACCTACATAGAAAAGCCGCTAATTGTTAATTAAAAAATAATAAATTTGTATCCTTATCGCTTTATCTGTTGTAAATTCTCTGTCTCTCGTATTTGATTTTAATTTTTCACTTATGTACACATCGCTTATTTACCGAAGCAATTACGCTCGCATTAAAAACAGCTACACACTAATTTTATTAATTAGTTAATAATTATCGTGAGCATGAAATTTTTAATATTGTGGTGGTCGATCCTCCTGGTTTGTTCTGCCATTCCCGTTGCACAAAGTAAGTTAAATTCATTTCCATTTTTATACTTGTTTCGTTCGATCAATTATTTATAAATTGCTTTAGGTGTGCTTGAAGGGGGTGGGCAAGAACTCCATTCAATCAATGGAGATATGAATCCTAAAGACCTTAATAATGCACCAATTACTGAAAATTCTACAAGAAATCCGAGAGCTAGATATTTTCTATCAAATGTGAAGTGCAGAGAAGGGTTTGTCAAAGTTAGAGGACATTGTGTTGAAACTTTTTAAATGCTTTTTTTAATTTAATTAGTTCAGATGCTAATGCGATTATATCATTTATTGTAACAATAAATTATTTTAATCAGCTCGTGTATTTATTTACCTATTAACATACCTATCGATTTAATAAAACCGAGAGATATTTTTTGTATCATCCGGTTGCCAAATGTTTCAATATCTTTCATAAAGATTTCGTTTTATTTTAGATACCTGTTCTGACGGTAGAAGCAACTGCGGATCTCAATGCAAATGCGGCAGTAATTGCGATTGCTCCAAAGGTTTGTTAGATTATTCTACTGCTTGTATCTAATTGAATTGGTTTCGTAACCAATTGGTTATTGATTTCTGAAAAACAATTAAAATTTAACAGTGAGTTAAATATAAGCGGTTGGTTACAGGAATTATACGAAACATCTGAATACGGGCATAAATGACACTTTAATTATTATTGCTTAAATATTTTCAGGAAGCAAACAATGCTGCTCAGACAAAGATAAGAAATGAATGTTCCAAATTGAGCTTCATCGTAGTTTTCAACAAAGTAGCTTTTAATATCTCTGCTTTTTTTGTCCTTCATTTAGTTGCTTGAATAATGAAAAATAAATAAATAAAATGTAATATTCCTTTTATTCTCTAGCTTCCTATATACGAAACGTGTAGGTACAAATACAACGAAACGTAACTCGAAAATTTATATTCGTTTTTTTAATAATTACATGGGAAATAAAATACATTTGCCTCCTTACATTACTATTAACAGTATTAAATATCTTCAACTTTTACTTCAACAATAATATAGATTTGATCACAATCTCTTTACGAGAAAATTAAGTACAGAACAAAATGCATAAAATACCAAGTATTTTACTCGTTCTGTTGATGCTGAAATAAAAAAATGTCAAAATAGTACGTTAAATTTCGTTTAACAAAAAAATACGTTAAGAAAACAAAAATCAACAGCAAAATCCTTTCAAAGGAATAAAAAAGCACCATCCTATTTCAAATACGTTTTTAACCACCTTAAACTAATATAAAAAAACTCAGTCGTAATATCGTTTTTCTTCCATTTAATGGAAAAAATCATTTAAAATTAGCATCGATAAAATGAACTAAAAATCGAGAGCGAGGCTTGGCCTCTTAAAAAAAATCTTAACGAATAAAACAGATTTAGAGATTAAAGAACAAATAAATTTTTAAGTAATACTTTTACCAACAGTTCTCCAGTAAAACATCGGACTAAACAAACATTTCTCGACAATTTTTCAATAGTTTTCATTAGAAATTTTTACGTTTAATTAATTCACAGAATCGATTAAACTCGAATAATTTAAACAAAAATTGTCTAGTCCGCAATATTTTGTACATTCGTGTTTCATAAATTTCTATAAATTAAAAGATAATCTAATCAATTTTTACTTCTTTGAAATTACCGACTAGGATTTGACACGCTAGTTCAATCGGTTTCCCTCTTTCCATCTAAAATAATGTTTTGAATCTTCCACATCCAGATTATTCGCCAGTGATCTATTCAGTTGCTGAATCTACGTCAAATCATCACCAAATCCTAGCCACTTTAATTATCATTTCCGTGTCTCTCAGGCCTAATCGAACGCATGACTCCGACAAAATACAATTTATATACAAAACACCGAAAGCTCCTCCTGTTCAATCCCCCTTCACAACAGGCTCCTCGTCAGTTTCCTCATCAGATCCGCTACCGTCGCTCGCCTTCAATCTCTTCCTGTATATCTCGCACTGGTCGATTTCGAAGCCGATCAACGGATGCAGCGCGCAGCGCAGGTTGCTGAACAACTTGGGGAAGTGGATCTCCTGCTGGATGAGCACCTGCTTGATGCGCTGGCTCTCCTTGGTCAGCTTCGGGCTCGACGAGCCCGTCAGAACGGGCAGGTTCTCGTTCGTGCTGTACTGGCGCAGCACCTTCTCGCGCACGTAGATGAACGGCCGCACCACGCGCAGATCGTGCTCTCTGCAATACAAAAAAAAACCGCTCGAAAATGGTCTCGCCTCGCTGCGCAAGCTCGACGACTATATAGAGGCGTCATACGGTGCTTGCAACATTGTCTTATTAAAAGGGGTGATTCTACCCCTTTGAGTTGAGCTGGGATGATGCTACTTGGTGGTCAACAAGATAAGATATGAAGCTAGTGCTGCTCAAATTTTCGTACTTGGGTATATCCAATTTTACAGGGCTTTAAAAAAGTTTTACATTACCTTATGAAGTAATGGGCCCTCAAAGTTCTCAATCTTCCCGTATGGAAGACTGATAATAAGAAGCTCTCGCACACGTCGTCTAAATGCTGCCCGATGGCTAATACGTTGTATCCGGAACTTTTAGCCGAAGAATACAACCGCTGTCTCAGCGCAGGGGTGCAGAACGTGTAGTAATTCTCCTTGGCGCCTTCGAATTTCTCTGCAAATACATTTCAAAATCATCATTGTTACGAGGATAATTAAACACAATCGGACCTGGTTCGTTTCCCACATCAGGCTTCCTGTCGTCTATTATGTAGTGAACGCCCAAGGTCTTGAGATGGGGTATCAGCATGCAGGGATCGCAACCGGAGGAATCCGGATCCACCGTCACGGCGCCGATGCTGAAGAGCAGGCCTTTGGACTTGACGAAGTTTTGGTACTGGAGCAGCATGTGGAGAAGACAGAGGGAGTCCTTGCCGCCGGACAGGCACACCATCACTTTATCGCCGTTTTTGATCATGTCGAATTCGCCGATGGCCTCTAACGATGGCTCCCAAATGGTTTTCGGCGGAGAATTGTACCTGGAAGAATGAAAGAATTCAATCTCGTTCACTCACTGACGACTCTCTGGTAAGTTAAAATTTACCTGTGTGCGATGACTTCCAGCAAATGGTGATCGTCGCTGAGATCCCTAAACAGCTTAGGCCTGTGTTTCTGCAACGTGGAGAACCGAATATCCGAATCGGATTTCCTCGGCGCGTGCAACGATTCCGAATTGCTCCTGGCCTTCTGCTCGCCGTTGAGGAAGTGCTCCTGCTCGTGGAACGACAGATTGATGCCGCTGTCCTGGCTGCTGACGCTCGCCACCGTCGACGACAGCACCTTGGACTTGCGCGCCTTCTCCTCGTCGTCGTTCTGCAGCTTGTCCGAGCTGGCCGATTTGTTGATTGGCTGCGCCGAGTCGTCGGGCGCCGGTTTGGACGGCTCGGTGGAGGTACCGACGCTCGACGTGCGGGAATAAGTGAGCTTGTCCGGATTGTCGGGAGTGATGAACACGTCCACTGCGCTAACCACGTCGCGGATCTCGCATTTCACCTCGTTCACCATCTCCATGGAGACTTTTTCCAAGTATTCCGCCACCTGGAGAAGAAAATTACATTCATTCTACTGACTGCGCCATGTTCGTAACTATAACTTACTTCATTAGCAGAGATGGAATCGCTTCGACCGTCTTCGCTGCCGCTGCCGTGCCGCTCGTAGAACGAGCAAACGCTGTCGGCGTTCTCCAAGGCGTCCTCCACCTTCGATATCACCTCGCGGATCTCGCTCTTGATGTTGGTGGCGATCTCCTTGGTCATCTCCTGCACGTAGGTCTGGAGGTCGGGCGCCGGCGAGGCGCGGCCGCACTGCAGGCAGTCGAAGCTGCTGTTCGACAGCACGTTCAGGCTGTGGGTGGGCGACATCTGGTTGGATTCGCTCTCCAGCGAGTTGGGCTCCTGGCTGCTGTAGCTGAGCTGGCGCTGGCGGCCGTGCACGCCGAGGCTGACGCGCGTCGACGGGCTGAGGACGGGCGAGGCGACCGTCGGGGCGCCCAGGCTAAGGCACCTGCTCGGCCGATTGGAATGTTAATTCGCATCGAAGCGTTTCGCGGGTTCTATTACCTTTCTCTGACGAAGTTCTGCTGCAGGTGGTTCAAGTTGGTGGAGCTGACGGCTTCGCCGACGGCGAAGTTCACCTGCTGTTGGGCCATCTGCGGGTAGTACAAGCCGTTGACGTCCTGCAGGAAATAGGGCACGGGCGAGGAGCAGGTGAGCAATTTCGGATCGTCGATGGCAGGAAGACTGTAGTGTCTCGGTGAACCGTTAGGAGGTACTGCTTGAGGAGGTGTTACAGCCCTAAAAAAATGTTAGTTAAGATTATAATTGCCAATAGGTTGTGTCATAAGAACGCAAACCTTTCTTTAGATTTATCTCTTTCTCGATCCTTTCTACATAGTAAATTATTGACTGGATCAAAGGGCACCTTCTGCTTGACGTTCTGAGCATTGCTGGTTAGTAAATCTTGCGCTTCGTGTTGGAGCATAAACCATCTCAATTTCTCTCCTCGAGCGTCGAAGGTGATTCCTTGGTCCTGATAAGCGCCTCTGTTGGCGGTCTTCCTGGCTCTGTTGAACAGGTTCCTGGCAGTTTGTAAGCATTCGGAGTAGTTTTGTGGAAACAAGCCGGGTCCCGATATCCTCCTTTCGTTCATCGTCATTTTTCCCTCTAAATATCTAATGGAAGACAGCCATTTTCTGTCTTTGGAGACGACGTTGGAGTGATGCCGCCATTCGGCCGTCTCCAAGTCCACCACGTATTGCGGCAGTAATTTCCAACCTTCGGTGGCCACCATCTTCACGGCTTCCATGATGAAGGCCAGCTCGGCGTCGTTTATGAAATAAGGAAGACTGATCCTGGTGAAGCCGGGCCTCAGCAACTCCAACGTCGAATTGTCCACCCCGAGGTTCAGGCTGCTCAATCGCCTGCGAAAGTTAAAGTTAAAAATATTAACTTTACGGCGAAAATTCGCAATAAAACGAAAGTCGTTAGCGGGAATCCGAGCCGCAGCGGCGACATCAAAGCCGCATTATTAGTTATTAAACCGTCGACGTCACGCCAACGCCTATTAAAGCGTATAGAACTGCGATAGATTCGAGTTCGAGTTCGTTGAAAAAAAGTCAGTGAACTTGAATTTTTTTTCTCGGTAAGACAAAAAACGTCCGTCTAATGTCATTGCCAAGTACGACGCGTACGCCACGCAGGGAATTTCAAGCGATAATGATAATGAAAATAGACGTGGACAATTTTCATTAAAAATTCGCGGAAGTAGCGTTAAAACCGGCCGCTAATTTAGAATCTAAAATTACTGGTCAATTATAGAATTTGAAAGTACGCCAGGTAATTTTCTAAATTTATTTGCATAGGGTGTACGTGTGATGGATGGCAGAAGTCGAGCATACTTCTTGGGAAAACTATTTGTTTATATACTCCCAGTGGCGTACTTCAGAAAAATCTAATAGTTAACTAAAGCTAAATCTTTACAACCTTCCCTAAAACAATTTAATCCAGAAGCTACATAATCTCTATCATAAATCCTTAATCGATCCTAAAATCCCGCTCACAAGCGGAGCAATTTCGCCCATATTTAATCATGATTAACCAGGCAATAACTCACCGATCTTCCAATATAATGCTCTCGTACTGATCGGCTAGGCTGTGATCGATGCCGAGCAATTCCTGGGCGTAGGCCCCCGAGCAGGGGCAGCCGGCCCTCGCCTGTATGCCGAACACGTCGTTGAGGACGGCGCAGACGAAGTTGTGGTGCAGGTAACTTCCTCGCGGATGTCGCACGAGGAACGAGAAGACCGGAATCCGCTTCAGATTGGGCGAGTTGTTGCCCAGCAGTATCAGCTCCGGTATGGTCCTGATGTGTTGCAGCATTTGCCTGTTATCAAGAGTGAAAAATGCATTTTGTCATGTGGAATTTGCGTTTTAAATAAAATATGTAAATGGATTACATCATTTGGTAGTAACGAGTCGTTAGGTGATTAAAATTTTATATCTGCAAATTTATTGGTCAATTATGTATTATCGATTTTAAAGTGCATGTGTAAAAACAAATTGTATTTCCAACGAAACGCGTTATAAAAAAATAGTCGAATTAGAAATTTCCCAAACAAATAATTAACGAAAATACACGAATTCAAGTCAAAGTGCAATGCAAAGTCCGCTCGAAGAAAAACTCGCATTAGAACGTTATTAATCGCACGGAAAGTTCATAAAAAAATCAAACCCAAATAGAGCGGATAATTTCGAAATCCGCATCGAAAACCAGTCGATAAAAAATAATCGTCGTGTTATCAAGGAATCGATTAAATAATAACGTACGAAAAAACAACCAGTCCGTGATGTCATTCGGGCGATGCCTCGACCGGTTTCAACCAACAATATCGGGCGAATTTAAATATAAAATTAAACCAATTAGGAATAATATTTGCACACTGGTCAATTCACGGATGAATGCGAATGCTTCGATTTTGAAGCGCTAAAAGGATCTATAAAAATGAAAGAAAGCAGTTAAAACATGTTCGTGTAACGGGTGATTTTTTTCTTCTGTAAATAAGTCTACGTTTAAAGGAAGTCTTATCACTTTTCCTAAATTTATTTTTCCCAGACCAAAATAACTGTTAAATTTGGCACAAAAGAGCGGAGAAGTTAGTAGAAATTTAACTTACTTATTAATTTTTTCCTGCCTTTGTACGATGTTGGCCACAGAAACGGTTTCTTTCAGCTGCATGACGAGCCCCGCTCGAATCGATTCCACCACAGCCGCGCAATTCCCGTCCTCTTGTATATCAAAATTCTGCAAACCGAATTAATTTTAACCTCCACATTAACGATTACTAATCGACATCACCTTGTCCTGATCGTTCGAGATGAACAAACCGTCCGGATCGCAATTGTTTATGCACCTAAAGATGGACTTCTTGGCGATTAATATACCTGCAAACAACATCGAAACATTACCCAACTCCGCGATAAACGAATTTAATTACACTTACCCGGCGTTTGTACTCCGCCGATGAACTTGTGCCCGGAGAAGTACATGGCGTCCTTGTAGCCCGACGGGGAGTTCTCCTCGACGCCGGGCAGGGCGGGATTCATGTCCGCCTGTACGGAGGGCGCGCCGAAGTTGAAGTCCCAGAAGGAGAGGGCGCCGTACTGGTGCAGGAGTATCGTGCAGGCGAGATCGTCGATGACGATGCCCGTGACGCTGGAGGCCACCGAGAAGCAGCCGATCATCTGCCTGCCGCTGTTTTGGTGGAACTTCAGCTGGGTCTCCAGCTCGGCCAGGTCGAGCAGACCGTCTTTGGTTTCTCCTATTCGCACCAGCTGAAAATTTTGTACGGAGTTTAATGGGATTCCTGAGGAATTCCTGTCGCTATTGTATAATACGTGCGATAAAAGTACACCAGTTATCGTTGAAATATTGCATGCTCCATTCAATGTGTCAACCTCGCGGTTTTAAACTATTAATGCGAGAAAAAAATTATTAATACTACCGCAGGAATGCTAATGTAGGCGTTAACACCTCAGACAGAAAAACTTTAGGCGCCTATAAAAACCTCAAATAAAAAATTGTAATTTTTTTTGTCTGTGCATAATTAATTTTATATATCTAAAAGAAATAAATAATACTTAATTCGTTCTCTCGTAAATGCAAATATGTAAACATTTCTACCTAGGCAGCATAACTGCTTTATCTCGAAGGCGTGATTATTTATTGAAATTATACAAAAATCGACCCACAGCCTTTATCGTGAACTAAGCATTTGCAATAAGCGAAAGGAACAACGCAAAAAGCGAGTAAACAAATCTATAAAATTAAAAAGAAATAATGCAATTGCACTTTTAGTTATTTTCATAATGGAAACTAATTTGCAGAGCCAGCATTCGAAATTTACGTTGTTTCGAAACAACAGTTTAAATTAATCACCCGAATATATTCTGACGGTTTAAATTCGTTTTTATTACTGAATTTAATAGGTAATGCGTTATTTATTGAATTTTACTTCGTAACAACTCGCTTGTTTATCTTTCGCTCTATTAAAAACTGCTGAATGTTGTCTATTGTTACAAATTAAACGGAAGTACCTTAACAGGAAAGTAATTTGAGGACTACTTAGAAAAATAAACTTATGTGTAATCCAGAAAGTACACGTATTTCACTAAATATTCTCAGTATGTACAACAGAGCAACTAAAGTATAATTATCTACTTATTACAATGTAATAGGGACAAATAAAAAAATTAAAACCGGCATTAAAATTTATATCTCTTAACTGCCACTTGACAAATAATAGAAATGCGATGCTCCCATTGCTGCATGCTTGGATACTTTGCCAAAAAAAATAAATTATATATTAAACGATTACGTGGGCTGGTGGATTTAATATACAAACATGTACATATATTATAATTCGGGACGTATGTATTTTTGGTTAAACTACAGCGTGGCTCAAAAAAAAACTTCAAGTTTGCTCACCTTGGCGCCGGTTTTTTGCCACAAGTGTAAATTGTCATTGTGTTCAGTCGATCCAGTAAACACTACTGGTGGTTCCCTTATATCTAGGGCAGTAATTAATTTTTCTAAAGCGTCCGAACATCCGTGCCCGGAGAATATTACCGCATCGTCTTCCGAAGCGTTTACGGCAGTTCTGATTATATCCCTGGCTTCTTGTCTGAAAAAAAACATGCAAATTTTTATTGTATTTTAGCAGATATGAATTAATTAACAAGCTTGTTGCAATAGGTAGTCACTATAGAACAATGCATACCTAAATAATGTAGTTTGAAGAGACGATATGCTTGTAGTGTAAGGCGTATTTCCGTATGTCGGCAAAACTTCCCTCAGAATGTATTCTTCTATGAATTGTAAAGATCTACCCGATGCCGCGTAATCGCAAAATACCACTGAAACAAAACAAAGAAATATTGCTAATATTATTCCAGTCGTACACCCTGTAGTTTTAAAATAGAAAAATCGATTTGACGGCAAACAATCTCGCTAGCCGTGACCTCTAAAAAGATAAATATTTATTTTAGTTTATTTTAAGGGCGGGTGCGTTTCGTTTTTCACGCGATTGCGTAAATTATGGATTTCTACCGGTCATGGACTCGTAATAAGATTTCGAAAATAATAACAAAAATTGGAAATTAAATTCAGGAAAGATAATAACAAGCAAAACAGTTAAATTATTTGTATTCTACCGATAAGCTCAAAATATACACAGGTACAAAATATGAAATAATTACCACAAATTAAAGACTAATTACATAAATAATTAAACACGTAGCATTTGTTATTAACATTCAACGAGACAAAAAACCGTCAAAGCTCAACAGCTTTCCTATTAGAACATACATAATTTATTCATTCGCAATGTTGATATTAGTAACCCGACAAAGTCATTCAATTATCGCCCGAATTGTCGATACCGATAATAACGAGAAAGTATTGCCAATTTATTGTTTATAATCGCCCGAAAGTGAAGTGTGAACTCGCGATAAACGTCCGACGAGCATTTTTATCGCCTTCGAAAATTGCGATTGTATTTATCTAAGTCATTAGGTCAGTTATTGTTTGGATGATTATTTGAAGTAAACCGTTCGACGGCTTTTGTTCGCTAGTTTAGAATGGAAATTTCAATGTAAAAATGCATAAATACAGCGTTTCCAGAAAAGTTATAAAGGGAAATAATAAAATTTGTTCCCGAAGGAAAATGATCTTTCAGATTGGTCTTGAAGCGACTATTACAGCGCATATTCCTCTTCTGTATAGCATGAACTACTTTTGATTCAATTCGCTTGTATTCGAAGGTATTTAGATTCAATTTTACAGACACGGCGAATTATCTGAATTGAAAGGCATTTTCAACATGCCTTTAAAGGAAAATAGGTCGACCGCCTAGTTTACTGTCTCAGTTTCGAGAAGATCCTGCTTGTGGACCGTTAGGATAATGTAACTTCAAAGTATACCTTTGCTATTCACTAGAATTCGAACAAAAATCGAGAAATAATACATACATCTAAACATTCAGACAGAGCACATTTAATTAGGTATCCCTAATTTCTTTTTCTTAAGAATCCTAAGAGATTAAGTTAGTGATATTAATCATAATTGAACAATGCAATTAAATGTTCCAACAAGCCGGCATTCTGTAATTCGAGATCAGTAGTTTCTGCTGAACAATAAATCAAAGATAATGTTCACTTCCTTTATAAATACAAATCTAATTAACATTGTGATTAAATTTCACAACAGTGAATCGTGGAAAGCGTTGCGTAAACCCATATCTCTTTCGATCATAAAATCAGCGATCACGATATCGGGATTTTATTGCCGATGGTTTTCCTTCCTTTTGATTTTTAAACGCCGGACTCGTCGGTTTTCTGTTGTATAATCAAAGCGTGTGCAAGCGATCGCATTGCATAAATATTTATACAGCTCGTTAAACATTAGGTCGAAAATGTTTGTAGGTATATCTAATTAAAGAAAATCTGCAATATACAACGTTGAAAATTTTCAATATAAGTGCTTAGCTACATTTCCAGTTAAAGTACTGTAAAGATAGTACATTTTCAGTGCTTGGGCTAGTACCTACTGAATAATAATTCTGAAAAATTCGTTAACCGATTGCGTCAAGCGAAAAATCGTTATTGAAATTGCAAAGTCCAAAGTAGCGGTGGAAAAGTTATTTTGGCAGAACGGGTTTTTGTTTTTCGTGCGTGGCCGAGTGAGATAAAATTTATTATCCAGGAAGAAAATACGCGATTTGTCACGTGCAAATCGAAATTCGCTCGGCGAGAAAGCACATTGCGTGAATCACAAAATACGGATAGGAAAAATACAGATACCTCTTCTATCAAAAATTCGAATTTATAGATATGTTGTGAATCCGCATACACGTGTAACTACTCGCAAATAACGAGTGTCCCAAATTGATATTTCCTGGACTGCAAGATTTTTCAAGAGGTCTCAGATGGAATCGATTCACCTCATCAATCTGATCTACTGAACTGAACCTAGTCTACTGTGATCGATTGCTCCACGCACATTTTTAGGTATTGGTGTCGAGTATTTAGCGTTCGCATATTTCTAAATTATTTTTATTGCTCGAACCCAATTCTTTTAAATTATCCTCCATTGAGCTATTTATAGCCGATGTTTTGTTTAAAAATTATTTCTGATTAACAAATTCAACGAAAATAACTTAACAAAGCATTAACATATAACGGAATTATTAGCGACGTTATTAAACAGAAATATATTTATTGGTGCCAAAGTTTTGGGTTTTTTCGAGCATCATCAGAGTTGCAAATAATTGTCTCTTATACAGTTGTGCGTTGGAATCTAGAGAATTGTGTGTCCTTTGAAGCTAAATAGTCTAAGCATATTTATTAAATAATTATCCTATAGGAATATATGGCTCGTAATTTAACGATAAAGGCCGCCGGTCTAACCTTCGTAATCCGTTTTAACAACGTTCGAACGTTAAAATTTAGATTATTTCAGCGATAATAACAGATACATAAAAAGGACGATACAGATAAATATGTAATAAATATTTCAAGTGATCGCGGAAATTTACCGTATTTACACGCATGAATTTATCGGACATCGATAGATTTCGTTAGTCATACACGTGGATTTCATTATTATTATTAATATTATTATTGTTGACGAATTCTTAGCGGGAAAAATCGAGATTATGCGTAAATAATGGACGTGACAATCAAAAATGCGAAAGGAATAAACAAATATTTAATTAGCGGAATGGCGGAAGTTAAAGTAAAACAATCAGCAAATGTAATAGGATAAATATTGTAACCAATATTAACTGATATTAAAATGTGTATCCGCTCAATTATATTATAAAAGCGTATAATACAAACAATCATCATATAAAAATATATATCCTTTAAGAGATTGGCCTAATAAAATATATTTTTATATCACATTCAGTTGACTTTGGGAACACCGTATAAAACGAGTTACTTGTCAGAGATATAATTAATAACAAATTTCATTCACCTTGCATGCTGTATGCACCAACAAATATATTTCGATGCAACTTTGCATGTCTGACCTATTATTTCAAAACCAAGGATTTTGAATCTGGAACAGGGATTTTTAATTATTTCGAACTTATCCGTATAATCCTTTTTCATATACACACGTGGGTATCAAAGTGATGTGATGTTTGCTGATATGAATCACAGTATTCTACCTACATTGATGATAGCAATCGTAAAAGAGCACTTGCATGTTTATGCTCAATATTCTACCAATAAATCAAAGGCGATTTTATTGATAAACTGTGAATTAATTAAAAAGAGAATCATTTGAGTAACTTCTTTTAGAATCAAGTTTATTAGTCTGTTACTATAATAAATTTAGTTAAAGTTTTTCCCTTTTTATATTCTTGCAGTATATTCATAGTAAACGGAAACGTCTATTATTATAAGCGAATTTCCTTGAGACGATCGTAAATTTATCGTATAGGAAAATATGATCGTGATCTTGGTGTCTTCGCGTTACGATAAAAATTTGTCGTCAACCTTAAACACAAAACGTGTAAAAAACAAATTTTTCGTCGGTTTATTCGTGGAATAAGAAAGGTCGGAATCGATTTAAACAAGGTCTATCTAATTCTTTAAACATCGAGTGTACTAGGCGTTGCGAAATCATTTGTGTTATCTAAAAATGTGTGAAAAATGTAAGTTAAATTTTGGTAATGATGTGAACAATCACATGTGACATTGATCGTTGAGGCTGTTTAATTATGTGACATCCTGTAAATTTGCTATTATTTTCCAAATACATACGTTTAACCTAGTGTCAAGGATTGGGCTAAATCGTCGATTAAATTATTATGAATCATTTTCTAATACCTCGATATTTTTTACACTTTCTAAACCTCACTTAGATCTTTCATTTACCAAATTACATTTTTTTTATAAATTTTTCAATATACCTACAAATTGAGTAGTTTAATTCATACATAAGTGTTAGTGTCCACTTTTTTTGTTATTAAATTGAATTTTATGAAAACAAACTAAATATTATCGAATTGATAGATACATTGTAATTAAGTGTTTATCAAAATGATGAAGGTCGATGAAAATAAGGTTGTATCCCACATTGATTAGAAATAGCTAAATAATCGCCAACGTTTATGCAAAATGTAATATGATATGAAATGTGCATTACAACAATTTTAATGATTATATTAGTATATGGTTGATATGCTGGTAAAACTAATTTTTCATTTTACATTTCTGTTTGATAATATTAATATTATATAACAAACAGAGATACATTATTAAGGAAAATTCGAGTTTTATACGGATGTGTGTCAATTACAAAACTGGATTTTTTAATGTACCTAATAGTTTTCTGAATATATCAATTTGTTTACTTCTAAATGAATTTAATTATAATCTATTCTGTATACAGAAATGTCTGAAAAACAGAGATTCTCCAGAAAAATAAGGAAAATAGAGAAATAAATATAACGAAAAGGCAAAAAATCTTTAAAAACTTATAAATAATTAACTGACGTAAAATTCTTAAACAAAGTTTAAATTAAGAACTTAATTTCTCGCATTAAAAGTCAGAGTAACACAAAGAAAACGCGATAAATTAGATTTTTATCATAAAAATGAATTAGCTACATAAAAGTTATTTACCAATCTGTACGAACTTTTAACGGATGTCTATTTAAAGAAGCTACATTAAAAAAAACGACATACAATAAACATGTAATATTTTCGACAGATTTTTTAAAAAGTAACTTCCGATCGGTCCATGATTTAGCTTGCAACAAAAACAAAAAATTCTGGTTTCATGCGTAGATTAGAAAAAAAAAATAGTCGGTCAAGTATTTTTAGAAAATCCAAAATAACTCGCT